AAAAAGATCCAATAGAAATTACACAAGCAATATATGATATGAACTACAACATCTATCAAAAACTATCAAACAGTGAAACTCAATTTTTAATATAATGCAGAAACTAGTAATAATGAATATAATCATGACAATTAAAAATGCATAAACATCAACAATATGAAAGTCATACACTTGAACATATATCATCATAATTTTGTACACAGCCTGAGCAGAACCACTTTATGCTTTTATTCGCCATATCTTGGATTTATGAAGCCCATCTCCAGCACCACCATAAGTCACATTTGCACACTAGGAATTCGCATCCCAGATTTGTCCAGGGCAATGTTGACAGTCTCTGGATGAATTTTGTCACACCGTTCACAAAGCATAGACAAAGGGTCCATAGTGGAAATTGAGATTCTTCCTGTGACTGTTGATCATAAAAGGTCTCTTCATCTTCGCCAGAATCTGTAGTCATGGGTATGACTGTAGGTAAAGCATAAGATCTCAGGTGACTAATGATTTCTGTTATTACATGGCTCTTGAAGAATGAAGTCAAAATGGGTGAAACCGTGTATTCTAGTATGGATAACCAAAATGAACTTAGACTACTAATTGGCTTACATTGGTATAAATGACAAAGTCACATGATGTTGCCATACCAATCTGCAGCTACTGAATGTAGCCTTTGCCGTCATTCTTGCTAACTTCGAGGCCTCCATTTCTTTGAAGCACGAACTTCATGTTTATGATGGAAACATAACCTCTGACGGTGGAATTTCTGTCGCTCCAAAGGTACTTTATTTCAAGTTACAACACCATCTGGACTGGCTCTGAGATATGGTTTTTCCTTGTCTACCACCAGCCCAAGTTATTTGGAGGTTGAAATGTGGTGCTTCTATGATTGTTGGTATATTGTTCTAGCTTTTGGTTCAATGGTTATTCGAATTGTATATGTTAGCCATTATTGATTCAGTGAGGTGGCGATGTCGATATCCTATTATTTTATCAACTATACGCTATATGCTGATCTTTGCTACTTTCTCCATTTTCTCAGTATCTTTTGTTGTAGCTGCTGTTATTCAACCCATGCACTGCCTGTACCACTCGTGGTGGTTGTTCTGCACCACTGTCAAAATTGTTGAAATGATGGATATCAGCTTCCGCGTATGAGTTGAGTATTCTTTTGAGAAAACGTCAGGTGGTGGTACATTTCTCAGATTTATCCTGACTATATTAGTATTATTTAAGATAAAACTTATAATAATAATAATAAATCTTATAAACATATTATATAATTTAATTTCTACACACTTGCATACATGCAAATTGTTCACAAGCACACACGCAACACACGTATTTCTTTTGTTGTTGTTTCTATTTCTACATATCTATATCTTGCCCTATTTTCTATCACTAGTGATAGATTAGCAGTTTCTACATTCACTATATTTGCCATTTACTTAGGCCCGGCATGGCCAGGTGGTTAAGGCGCTCGACTCGCAATATGAGGGTCGCGGGTTCGAATCCCCGTCCCACCAAACATGCTCGTCCTTTCAGCCGTGTGGGCGTTATAAAGTGACGGTCAATCTCACTATTCGTTGGTAAAAGAGTAGTCCAAGAAACTAGCTGCCTTCCCTCTAGTCTTACACTGCTAAATTAGGGACGGCTAGCGCAGATGGCCCTCATGTAGCTTTGCGCGAAATTCAAAACAAACAAACAAGCCATTTACTTATATTTCCTACGTAATTGTTTAACGACTATATCGATAAAATATGTAAAACTTCAGTTAATGTAGTATATAAATACAATATTTGATGGCACAAACATGCCAGACATTTTTTAACAAATCACTACATTCTCGAGATTGGGCAATGATCTCTAAAAGATCATAATATCCAACTCTTAAATATTTGGCTTGATATGGTATATTACTTTTATAGGCGTCTTTATTGATATATCCAAAAAGCATATTTTAAAAGCCTAAAGGTGTAATACATACCCAACTCTAGATGTGCAATATCCACAGAGAGGCTGCTTCGTAATGGCATCTAAGATGACAAAGATATGTCCTCCTCCTGGATGATGACAAGTGCTGATGATGAGAGCAGTTTTTTGTTGTTTTTTTTTTTGGATGGAATAGCGTGAAATTAACAAATCGTTTCAGCTTGCATGGCACATGAGAGTTTATAATACCTACTTTCCTCATTCTTGATGATTTACTTCTGGTCAGGTAGGATTTCACTATTGTATCATCAATACATGGTGCCAGCTTAATATTCTTTGATCATCCTTGTAAACATACGAGGTAAGTTGGTGTTAGTTATTGGAATTGGTGCAGTTGGATTTCTGAAAGGTTTATATTAGCCGTTTTTGGCAAATATGGAGCATGATTTTCATTAATGTTACATGTTGTACTGACTTGTAGTTTCTGGCAAAAGAGGTTGAGCTTGACTTTTCCTCAAATTTTGCATTTATTCCATAATATTTATAGTCTGTTGATTTTGATGGCAGGAAGTGACTTGATGTCTTTAAAATGCTGCACCTTGCGATGATTCATTGATGTGAAGTTTGTTTCGGTGATATGTACTATTGAAAGGCTGAACATATTGTAGATTTCTTCTTTATATATGGAGGAAAGATGGCCGATATTATTCGTGCATAGTGCTAGCATAAATATACTTTCTACGCCACTCCCAGTAAAACAGCAGTAAAAATATTATCATTTAAACTTGAAAGGGCCTGGACTTCAGTCGTGTAACCGAAGTACTTGTAGTTTATGCAAATACCATTATTTTAAAAGCTTAAAAAGAACAACCATTACATTAAATATCTTTATATAAGTAGCCTACATTTAAATGTAAATCACGTTGTTATCATAATAATGTACTATATAATTATGATACAATGTTTTGCAAACTTCGAGGATATCAGCCTTGAACTTGGATCATCATGCCTTTGGTACAGTATCACATGTTAGTGACTCATTCAAAATTCAAACTGTAAAGGTCTAAAATGAACACGCCCCTATAATCAGAGTTCAACAACAAAGACAATTTATTCAATAATCACAACACTTAAAAAAGAATATTCAACATTTACCAAACACAGTTAATAAACATGTGCCTGGGTATGATAATTATAGGCTAAGATAGTCATGTGGATGTAAACTCAATGAATGAAAGAAAATAGCGTTCCTTGCTTTTTGAGCTATTGAGCAGAATTTCATTAAGAGATATTTGCTAGATATTAAATGGTCTTGATAGAATAATAGCAGTTAGAGCGTTACCTGAGCAACACTCAACTAGAAGGCTTCACAGACATCAGGCAATGGGGAGGGGGAAAGAGTAGAGACGATGATGTCATAGTTCCACGAAGTGGTACCAGAGGAAGCGTTGCTAGGCTGTCATGGCAGGAAATATTTTATTGATTTAATAAAACGAACCATTTTTTTATTTAGTTTCAACGTTTTACTTAGAACATTATCCAGACAAAATGTATGTGTCTTGAAATTGTCGTTGACACAAATAACAAAAGAATGAGGGTTATCAGTGATTTTGAGAAGAATGGAAGACGACTTTACGAGTTTATTTAAAGATACGATCTAGTGTCTCAAAAATATTTCACGTATTAGTTTCATCTATCTATCTTTGAAACAGTGAATTTAAACTTTACGATGATACATGCTAATGTTAATACAGTCAATCAAATATGTTTTGATCAATGTATTGGTTGGAAAGCTTATTGAATTTGTCGGGAAATGTTTTTAAAAACATTAATGCAGAAATTCTTGTAAGAAAAGTAACTCAAAAATCATACTTTTTATTCTTCTTGTTAGCTATGTGGATAGCTTATCGTGTAAGGAGAGTTGTTAGCCATTTGGATAGCTTATCGTGTAAGGAAAATACATTATTTTTTATTTAAAAATAAAAATAAATCGGGAATCTGATATGTTATCTTGTATGTCCGTATATTTTAGTTTAAGACCGAACCAAGCAGCTCAAAGGCAAGCAGTTTACGCTCTCTTAAAACAGTTTAATATAACTGTAATTCAAACTGTGTGGATTCAGAAGACACATTTTTGCTGTGTCATGATATAAAAAGACTGTTTAGTTTAGATGTTATTGATGAATTTATTTTTGTGAATGAACATTTTATTATTGTTTTGTTTTTGTTATAATAATAGTTAAAAGCAGACGATTGTTGGAAGTTGTGTTTATAAGTAATTGATGTTGAGACTATAGAATGTAGCGTGCAGTACATTGACATCGACAAAAATAAAGATTTCTAGAATGCGGACAGACGATTAAGTGATAAACGTATAAATAGTGTGAGATGAGCGAAACAGCAGACATACAATAGCAGAAGAAAGTAAAGTTAGGGCAAGGAAAGTTCGGCGTGAAGTTAACTACCGTAAAAGTGATAGGCCTAACGATTAATATAGGCCTAGCGTTTAATGTTAGAGTAAGACTAACAGTAAAAAAGTGGGGTAAGAAGAATAATTTATTCCTTCAAAGCGTGGTTCTAAGGTAACTGAATCAGCCTGAGTGCATTTTGACAAAAGGAACAGAGGAGATTTAGACGAAAGAAGACCAAACGATTACGATAACTCACGCCACAATTATAAGTGAATCACACACACACAGAATACTAGTGCGATAGTAACAGAGAAGATAGTTCGGCTTGTCAACTGAAAATAATTGAATAGGCCTAAGTGGACTTTTGACAAGAAGAAGAGAACTATATATATAGTGTCTATGATCTCTAATGTGTAAAGAATTTGTTGTACATACGTTTAACTTGTTCCGAATATCAAGGCCAGATTAAAGCCTTCGTAGTCCCTAGGCACCTTCAGGATATTGGAACCTCAACCAACATTCAGTTACTTATATATATATATTCCCTTCTTCTTCTTGCAGGTAAATAGCTGAAACATGTCGGATGGTTCAAAAAGATTTTTCTTTACCTGAACCACGACCAACCGTGTCGACGGTGTCGGCCGTGTGTGAGGAGGAGCAATGCAGAAGCAATGGGAAGTGAATGCAAATTTACTGAAATATTATGCAGATCACATTCCATCACAAAACTTGGATGCAGACTTTGACAAAAGTGGTCGACAGTTTGGTGACAACAAACGATTTGTCCAAAAAGAATACTTCTACAGACACATGGCAAATGGTGAGATTATCAGACGTGACTGGTTGACCTATTTGCCTTCAGCTGGAAAAGTGTTTTGTTATGTGTGCAAACTATTTTCTTATGACGAGCATCCCAATCAATTTGAAACAGGATTAGATGATTGGAAGAACTCCATTGCCAGAATATATTCACATGAGCAGTCAAAATATCACTTACATGCACTCTCTAACAAGTTGCAGCATCAGAAAGCTACTAGAACAAATGCAGAGGTGGAAAATGCTAAGCAAAAAACATGTAGATTCTGGTTTGAAGTTCTAAAAAGAATAGTAGCTGTTGTGAAATTCCTTCCTGAGAGAGGCTTAGCCTTTCGAGGTGACAATGAGATCATTGGCAGTCCAAACTATGGGAACTTTATTGGGTGTATTAAATTATTGGCTGAATTTGATCCTTTTCTTCAGGAACATGTTGAAAAATTTTAAAATCCTGGAAAAAGATATGTGTCCTACCTCTCTTTGACCATTTGTGATGAATTTATAGACATGTTGGGATTAAAAGTTAAGGAACATATTATTACAGAAATCAAATATTCGAAGTACTACGGTGTAAGCATTGATTCCACATCAGATATAAGCCACACTGCTCAACTTACTGTAATACTTCGATATGTGTTCTCTGATGGAAAAGTTGTAGAAAGATGTGTGCAGTTCATCTCTATTGAGAGACACCATGGCAAGTACCTCATTGATGTATTGACCAATTTTTTTCAACAAAGTGGAATAGATCTTTCATGGTGCAGATCACAATCTTATGACAATGCAAGCAACATAAGCGGGATATACTCCGGTGTGCAAACAAGATTCAAAGAAATCGACAAGTTACCAGAGTTGATACCATGTGCAGCCCATAGTCTAAATTTAGTAGGATCTGTTGCTGTAGAAAGTTGCACAACGGCTGTAAACTTTTTTGGTGTTCTACAGTCCATATACAATTTCTTTTCGGCTTCACCACAAACAAGGAGTATACTTACTGAAAGTCTTAAAACCAAAAGAATTGCATATGTAGTTCACAGTATATCAAAAACACGATGTTCTGCAAGAAGTGATTCCGTGACAGCTCTATTCATGAACTACTCAGAGATTAGACAGAGTCTGATCAGTGTTGCAGAACGTGCTGGACAACCTCCTTCGGCTGTTCATGAAGCTAAATCCCTTGCCAAAAAAACGTGATACATTTGAAACTGCATTAATGTGCACTATCTGGAACGACTTACTTAAAAACTTAAACATGGCCAATAAAGCTATTGAAGAATCTGGAACTGAATTGGTCACAGTCGTGAAATTGTGTGACAGTCTTCTGGCATACTTCTCGGAGATCCGTGACAAATTTAACAGTTTTGAAAAAAAAACGGCCAAGGAATTTTCTGAAAGTGACTACAAAGAGAAGATGGGGACTGAACACAAACGTGTGAAGAAAAATTTTTTTTGATGAAGGAACCAGGGATGGAACAGTCTTAACCATGAGTGCGAGTGACAGATTTCAAACACAAACATTTTAGCCTATTGTAGACAAGCTCATTGTTGAGATGGGTAGACGTCGAGAAACATATTCCATGTTGTACGACAGATTTGGCTTCCTGGTTGGCAAATCACTGTCCTGGGATGCATGTATCTTGAAAGCCAGGAATCTGGTAAAGACTTATTCCAGTGATTTGGAGGAATCCTTTGTTGTACCCGGGAAAGAAAACTGTTAATGAAATGCTGAAGCAACTAATCAACAATGAACTAATAATCAGTTTTTCTAATGTCCACATTGCATTTTCGAATTTATCTTTCACTGTTTGCAACCAGTTGTGAAAGCGAGCGGTCCTTCTCTAAACTTAGAAGAATTAAAAACTGTTTAAGATCAACTATGGGCCAAGACCGGCTGTCTTCTCTTTCCTTACTTTCAAATGAGAGTGAACTGCTTCGAATGATGGACCCTGATGACATTATCAGAAATTTTGCACTGAAAAAATCCCGTGAAGTTTGCATTTGATTTATTTTGATATGTATTTGATATATATTTTGATATATTGTATGTGAGCAATTTTGTTCAGTGTTTGAAAAAAACCTTCTCTTATTGTTTCGTTTTTTTCTATTAAAGTAAAATATAATTCTATTATATATTTTTTATATTTATTTTTTTATAATTTTATAATATTTAAATTTCTTAAATGACTTG